TTGAGCCTGTTACCCACAGGGGAGATATCGCTGTATGCTGTCTGGGAAACCGTAGACATACAGGTAGCTTTCGCTCACGCTATGGGTTTATTGCTAATCTATCTTCTTAGACTTATTTCCATAGATAGGGATGGATTTGTTGTGTGATATAAAAAAAAAACAGGAGCCTACAGCCGCATCCGAATCTCCGCTGTACTTGTCTAAGGGCAACTCCATCTTGCGCGTACTCTGGTCTAGCTCCAGTTGCACACAGCAGTAGTAGTAGTCGTACAGGTGGCGAGTGTCCTTCTGAGATTATTGAGTGATCAGCCCTCCAAACCACCCCATGCCCAGCCTAACGAGCATTCCACGCCGCAAAAGCAATCTGTCAAGAGCAACGGGTATACGAAAACCTGCCGGGATCTCCATTCCCTGTATCTCATCCTCCGGGTCTTGTGGGTCCATGCTGTCGTCGTCGTCCAGAAGAGCTAGCTCGTCGGTATGGGGTTGAGAGATGTCTGCGAACGAGGCAACGGGAAGCACAAGAAGTTAGGGTGTCACATCGCCAAACTCAACCTGAACTTATCATAATTTGAGTGTAGCCGTGCGCGGAAACAAGCTAACGTCAACATGAAGGACATCGTCATCAACAAAAAGTAGATGAAGAGTTGGTTTCGTGCAAAACAAACGTACCGCCGTCGTCTTCATCGCTGGAGTCAACGCTCTCCATGAGCGTCTCACGTTCTCCATCGCCCTCCTCCGCCCGCCCCTCAGGCTCATCGTTGCCGTTCTCCGAACATTGTTCGTCGTCGCTACTGTCTTCATCGGTAGCGAAAGTATACGACTTGTCCAAACCCTCCAAGGTGATTCGATCATCGCCCGAGCCGGCCACGGTCTTGGCCATCCCGCACTTTTTGAAAAGACGGTATCGGTACGCCTGTTGGCTGTTGAGTCTTGCCACGGCCGCTCCCATCCACTGAGTCATCAGGACGCGCCGATCAGTAGCTGTCAGCGACGCGGTTTCCCACCTCTCGAGGTTGTCCGACTGCTCGAGCTATATGTCCATCTGCCTCCCGACTTCCACCTTGAGAAATTGTCCGGCTCCTGCATCAACTGGCTGCACCTCGTCCGTGCACTCCGAAGGGCCATACCTGGCGAGATGAGAGTGTTGCAGTGCTTCGCAAGATACTCCTTGAACTCGTCCTTGGTATGTGCGTGCAAGTTGTCCATGATAAGAATGGAACTCGCCTTGGGGAGCTCACCCCGCCCGCGCATCACGCTTTTCTCGGGGGCACCCAGGGGCACGACGCGTGCGTACAATGCCCACCCTCCCCCTCTAAAAATATACAAACGTTGACATGTGGGGTATGTACCCCTCCCAAATCCAGCACTCTGTACTCTGGGATCACTCCCCCCTCTTCCCTCCCTCCCCCTGCGAGTATTTTTATCTGGCAGCCGCTGCATTGCTGTCGTTCTTATTTGTAGCAGCAGTTTTGCACCTCAGGTGTGTGTTTTTGTTCCCAACAGGGCGTGCAGCTGAGCACGTGTTCTTATCGGTAAATTCTTAAGTTTTGGACTTTTTGAGCATCAAATTCTTAAGTGCCATATTCTTGGGGCCGTTTTAAACACGCCAAATAATTTTCCAAAGTTCCAAAGTTCCGAAATATTTGGAACTTGTGTGTAGGCGTTTGTCCAAACTTTTCAAAGTAGTTTGGAACGAAGTCGGGCCAGAAAGTTTGGCGCCAGTTCGTTCCAAAGTTTGGAACTCTTTTTGGACACTTTTCCAAACGATCGTGCAGAGCACATGAGGGCTGCAAAGTGTTGAACCACGAGTTCTCTCGCAACAGAACGCCAGCTAGGGTTGTTCTTGGGTGATGGCTGACCGTAGAGAGCGGGGCGTGCCTGCAGATTCGGCGCGCTGTCCTCGCCCGCCGGCACGAGCAAGGCACACAAACAATGCCGATGTGCTGAGGAAAATGAAGGCTGTGGCGGCAATAGTGCTGGTGCTGACTGTAGTTACAACGACGGTCGTTCAGAGCTTTGCCCCCAAGGCACGGCTACCTATCCATGAGCCGCGGCGCTTGGACTGGGAAGAGCATGTGAGAGACATCAAGCGCAGGGGGGTGTTCAGGCGCATGTACCGGATGGAGGAGCACAGCTTCAACAAACTTGCGGAGCTGCTGCGACCATTCCTGGAGAGCAACGACTTCTATGCAAGTGAGCGAGAGGAAAGACAGAAAGAGGGACAGAAGGAGGGCTAGGAATAGAGCGAGAGAGACCTTGTAGGTGGCGGGGGCGGAATTACTTTTTCTCGGGTATGCGTGTTGTGCGGTGTTGAAGCCTGTCTCGATGCTGGGCATGTCTGTGTCCAATTTCTAGCTACCAATTCCGGCCGAACTTTTTTTTTCCGGGCACCACGAACGGCCTCCGACATACGCTATCATGCAACGCCCCCCAGAGGGTTAGGAACGTGGGCACGTTGAATGACACGGATAGTCTACAACGTGCTTGGTTGCGCCTCCACGTATGTAGCTTACACATGGTGTCATGCTGCCATTGTTTTGTTTTATGGGATGCAGGGAAGCGCACGCGCAGCGGAGCTGTGCCGGTAAAAATTCGTTTGGCGGTGGCGTTGCGCATGCTGGCAGGAGCATCATACCTAGATGTCGCGGTGCTGTTCGGCATTGCGAAGGAGACTGTATTCCACGTCTTGTGGGAAGTGGTGGACGCGATCAACAACACGCCGGAGGTCGGGGCGTTCTTTTTCCCTCAGACAAGGGATGATTGCGCCCGGCAAGCGAAGGAGTGGGAGGTGGGTAAAACGTGTGTGTGGTATTTTTTTCGTGTTTATCCGTTTGTGTCCTCATCATGGATGACTTCACCGCCTACTTGTACCGCGCCCTCGTTTTTTTTCGGTAAGGCGGGTATCTTTCCTGTCATCGCGAAGACAAGCGTTAACTTCATATAGTGTCGTGTTTTGTTTTGTACTCTTCCTTCAGCAACAGCATTCGGCCATACTCCTTCTTCAATCGAAACCCGAAGCACGTGAGTTCCATCTCGTGTCACCCACCCGGTTGCGCTGTCGCCCCCGGCCTTGTTTCCGACTGCGACATAGTACAGCGAGAGGCAACGAGTTGAGTTCTCCGGATTGAGTTGTGGCTCATCTCGTGTAGTAGAAAACTTAGAGGATACAGAAGGAGGGAGAAGCGAGGCCTCGAGAAACTAAGCAACCTGGTCCCATGAATATCTTCTACCGGTCTGCGAACCACATGCAACCACCGCAGCGATCTCAGATCCATTTCGTTCTCGAACACCCCGCCCGTGCAGACAAGTCTTTTTTTTTTGCATGGGTGCACTTTTTGCATGGGTACACGTTTTTACCGATGAGTGGAACGACCGAAGAGCCCATTCGCCTGCATGTCTGTCCAAGCCGTGGTCCGAATCTCTTCAAAACGATCGCTGATGGCCCGCGCCCCACCTCCCACCGCCGCCGGCTCTCTTGTCGCCTCTTGCCGACTCTCTTTTTCCGGAACACTCATCCCTCCCTTGCAGGCCAAGAGCACCGGCGGCGTATTCTCCGGTTGTGTTGCTGCTGGAGATGGCCTGTTCGTCAAGACCATCGCCCCGTCTCCGGTGGATACCCCGAACGTGCTCTCCTACTTTTCCGGGAACAAGAGTGGGTACGGGTTGAACATCCAGGCGACCTGTGACGCCAACTACCGCTTCTGCAGCATGTCGGCCATTTCGGCCGGTGCGACGAATGACTGGACAGCATGGAATCGTTCTTCGCTGTCAGACTCGGTGGCGCGCCTACCGCCTGGGTACTACGTGCTAGGCGACGCGGCGTACCCTCTCAGCGATCATCTCCTCACGCCGTACCCGGGGAAGTTGCTGCCACGAGACGAAGACTCGTTCAACTTCCACCTGAGCCAACTGCGAGTGAAGATCGAGCAAGCTTACGGCATCCTCGTGGGGCAGTGGGGGATTTTGTGGAGGCCGTTGCGGGTTCAGTTCGCAGGCCGCAGCGCCCTCATCACGGCCCTCTTTCGTCTGCACAACTACCTCCGCGACGAGCAAGTGAAGCCGGTCCACATGTCAGAGGAAGACACGAGACCGGGCGCGACCGTCCCCATCTGACGGAAAACGACACGCTGCCGGAAGACCTTCAAACAACCGACACGGGGGTGCCGAAGCCGACGAGGTCGGGAGACGTCCCCACCCGCTTGGCGCTGAGGATGCTACTGGACAACAGGCGACAATACCGCCCTCTATACAACCTGCAGCCCAACGAGGCACTGTAGTCATCGAGGGCTGACAGGCGGAAGGGACTCTGTGCGGGTTGAACCCGCTCTGGACTACGGTGCTTGAAAGTAGGGCATATTTGGGGAGGGAGAAAAAGGGTCGAGGAACACATGAAGTTTTGGGGGGTGGCCAGATAGGGCTGGGGTGAAGTGGTCGGGTACTCGGGATTCGTTGTGGAGACGCGGGGGGTACCGTGATATATTGGCCTGCCCTTGACAGGAAGGGGCTTAGGGGCGTACGTGTCTTGTCGTGTGTGCATGTGCGTATTTGTGTGCCCTTTACTCTATTGGTTTCCCATTATTTTTTCGACAAAAGTCCCTCCGATGAATGCGAGACGTGTGCTACAACTCGCAGTAGTGTTTGGAGAATGAGCGGTCCCTTTCTCTCGGCGAAAATTTTTTCGTTCGTTGCTGCGCGCGGGATCTCCTGTTGTCGGTAAAAAGTGTCACCCCCAAGCAATGAAGGGGCTGATTTGTCGCCCGTTAGCGATCCGGGGCCAAAGCACCCTTAGAAAATCTCTTCGGTCTTTGGGCGCGTAGCGGCCAGCGTGGTTATCAGACATGTGCAAGTACCGACCGCGCAGGGAGAAATACCATGCCGTTGGTTTGAGATCTTTTGAGCGGTGCTCTTTAATTTCGTGTGGACCGCATTGACATTTTGATTGTATCCCCACGTCGGATCAATCATGCAGACGATGGATATGGACGGTGAAAGCAGAAAAAAACACCTAGCCAAGACAGTGAAAGAAAAAAAAAAACGGGATTCATTCGCCCCGCCCGACGAGACGTCTGTATAAATGGTCACATCTCCCTGCCTTGTTCTGGGTGCTGCCAAGAACAAAAACGCAACCACACAACAAGACGTACAAACAGCCCCACAACGGCGCTACAAACAACAAGACTAACGCGGCGACACTCCACCTCCGCGGTGATGCAACGCACATAATAATCTGCATCCCCACATTGGTAGGCATAGGGCATGGCAGCAAGCCGCCGCCGAAAAATCGCCGGACCAACCATGCACGACGGAAAAAAAACAACGTGCCTTGTCGCAACACAACATTACATCTCCTTGCCGTGCCTTGTGGGCGCTGCCGAAGAAAGCAACGAAGGCACAACAACGCAAGGAACGATGCAGCCACACTACGACATTACCAAATAATACTCTCTCGCTTATGCCAGAATGGCGTAAAGGGTGAGGTGGTGAAGTGCAGCGCGGGAAACAAACGGCATACACATAGTTGTGCTGCCGGGAAATTACGCTTGCGGAAAAATAAGGGTCTGCATCGGACGGACCAGTTGCATCTCTTTAATCTTGTACGCCACCACCACAAAAAANATGCTTTTCGACGCAACACGATGGGGAGCACGCGCCAGGATGGAGAGGCCAAACACAAGCACCACACACGCACGCGCTCGCGAGCATTCAAACACTAAATACCCCGTGCACCTCGACTACCCTCAAACATACACAAGGCCCGTTTTGTCACTGCACAACAGAAACAACATGGTCAGGCCGGAGTATTAAACTCAACCTTGCAGAAGGAAAACATGTCTCCGTTGCTGCCAGATTTCTTGAAGTTGGAGTACATTTCGCCGTGGTCCTTGAAGAGGTCGGTCCTCATGGTCGCGAACTTCTGGAAGCTGATGTCCGGCTGGTGTACGACGTTGGGGTTGATGCCGGCGCCAAAGATGTTGCTGTCGTCCGCGAAGGAACTGGGCACCTGCAATGTTACGTTGTTGGCACAAATACAGGTAAAGGGGGGGGCGCTTGCGTTTCGGTCCTCTATCTTTGCCTTGGTTCGCCAAAATGTGCACAGCAAAGAAACACCGAAGGTGTGACCTCGGGGCCGCAAGCGGTATGCGGCGTGCATGCAGGTGCCAATTACAAAAAACTACCGCCTCCTGCAGGCCACAACGGAGGATACCACCTCCACTACACCTAGATCAAACTGGAACATGCAAAAAATATTGAGAAAGCACCTCACCTTGAACGTTTCGTCTTTGAACGCCTCCCAAATCTCGAGATGGATGTCCCGGGTCGTCCCCTTCTGCTTGGCGTCCTGCTCCTTCTTGCTCAGCTGCAACCTACTGGCGCCAAACCTCTCCCTGAACTGCGGATGCATCAGAAGTTCACAAAAGCGAGGGACGCAGTGCTTGCTCTTCCTCCGCTGTCCGATGCCCTCGCCCCGCCCATCGGCGCGATCTTCCTCCTTGATCGCCGCCATGATGGCGGCGACCGTGTACGACTTGCCATCACAGTCGTACATCTTGTTCGGCTCGGGGCTGAGTCCACTCCGGATTGCAGCGCGTACCGCTGTGATGAGGTTTTGAGGAACTCGTTGCGCCTCCGCGCTAGATGCTGGCGGCTTCGATGGTGGCGTTCCACCTGACAATACCATCAGCGCCAACGAGCGGGGGATGGGCAGGGCCGTGTCGGAGGTTGTTCATACATTACACACCCCTATGCATTCCTCGGCACAAGCGCGCCGAAAACCTGGCTGGCGAGAGCTTCCTTGCTTTTGCAACATTTGACACTTACGGTAGGGTTGGACACGGCGCTTCCGTGTCAGGACTGCTTGTTCGCAGAGCATCTACTGTAACTCACTTCCTCGACTGCTTGCGACACCTAGGAATTGGTACGACACATGCCGTGCCTGGATCGGACCCACAAGGCATCGCCTCCTCTTTTCTTTTTTTCTCTCACGCCACGAAGAAAGAAAAACTGCTGGGATGGTATCGTCCAAAAATAAATCTGTTGTGTGGTTGCTCCCCGCTGTCGAAACACAGCACGCTTTTTCTCCCAAATGCAACACCGCAAAATCACGAACGTAGGAAAAGCAACACATTTCAACGGAGCTACCCAAACTGGAACATGCAAAAAAATTGAGAAAGCACCTCACGTTGAACTTTTCGTCCTTGAACGCCTCCCAAATCTCGAGATGGATGTCCCGGGTCGTCCCCTTCTGCTTGGCGTCCAGCTCCTTCTTGCTCAGCTGCAACCTACTGGCGCCAAACCTCTCCCTGAACTGCGGATGCATCAGAAGTTCACAAAAGCGAGGGACGCAGTGCTTGCTCTTCCTCCGCTGTCCGGTGCCCTCGCCCCGCCCATCGGCGCGATCTTCCTCCTTGATCGCCGCCATGATGGCGGCGACCGTGTACGACTTGCCATCACAGTCGTACATCTTGTTCGGCTCGGGGCTGAGCCCACTCCGGATTGCAGCGCGTACCGCTGTGATGAGGTTTTGGGGAACTCGTTGCGCCTCCGCGCTAGATGCTGGCGGCTTCGATGGTGGCGTTCCACCTGACAATACCATCAGCGCCAACGAGCGGGGGATGGGCAGGGCCGTGTCGGAGGTTGTTCATACATTACACACCCCTATGCATCTCTCGGTACAAGCTCGCCGNCTTACGGTAGGGTTGGACACTGCGCTTCCGTGTCAGGACTGCTTGTTCGCAGAGCATCTACTGTAACTCACTTCCTCGACTGCTTGTGACTCCTAGGAATTGGTACGACACATGCCGTGCCTGGATCGGAGCCACAAGGCATCGCCTCCTCTCTTCTCTCTCACGCCACGAAGAAAGAAAAACTGCTGGTATGGTATCGTCCAAAAATAAATCTGTTGTGCGGTTGCTCCCCGCTGTCGAAACACAACACGCTTTTTCTCCAAGAGGCAACACCGCAAAATCACGAACGTAGGAAAAGCAACACATTTCGACGGAGCTACCCAGGTCCCATGAAAACCTTGAAAGAACAGGCTCGTGGCAACACTACCACGAGCATTGTCTGGTGATCATTGGGTCTTCACCTGTTGCCTTGTCCTCCAAGTCAGCGAGATACGGACTGCTCCTGCTCATGACGATGTCGAGCTGCGTCAACCCCGCTGCCATCTTGTCTGTGTCTTTTGACCTCGAGTAGCCGCTGAGCCTCCGCAGTGCGCAGGCTTCCCTGAGCAGGTAAGCCGACCACTTGTTGTAGCTCTTGTCGCGGTTGCGATTCAGCGAGCTTTGAAGCTGACGCATGGTCCTTGCCACGGACTCGACCGCCGCGCAGCTGCCAGCTCGGCTCAACTGGTCCCCGCCAGCTCCGCTCGAGCTTACCCCGCCAGCTCCGCTCGACCTTCCCCCGCCAGCTCCGCTCGAGCTTCCCCCGCCAGCTCCGCTCGAGCTGCCTCCGTCAGCTCCGCCTGCTACCCTGCCGTGTTGTCGGCCACGGTCATCGTCCTCTGACTCGCTGTCGCTGTTCCCTGAGTCGCTGCTCCCTGAGCCGACACGGATGGACCCTCCGTCGGACGTAGAATCGACACGTGTGTCCTGGAGGATGGCATCCACTTCATGAGAACGATGGTCCGCCGCGCTTCTGGTACCCGTTCTCTGCTGCGCAGAAGCAGTGGGCGTCACGTGACCGGGCCCCCCGGCTACGCCCTCGCTCTGCGTGTTGGTGTCGGAAGCGCCTCCCGTGTTCGAACGAGCGGTCCCCTTGAAGCTAGGCAGAGGGTTCGGGGTGCTGGACAACAAGCCGCCACCGCCGACAGCAGCCCCGAGAGACCCGTTGTGCTGGTATTTCGCCGGGACTTTGGTGTGACGACCACGCAGGGATGTCGTGGTCTCCACGCTGTTGTCCATGGTGTCGATATGCGGGCTGTGTGTGGTATATCGCTTGCGTGTTGCTGCACGTGTCACGCGCGGCTCTTTCTTTTTGGAGCAACTCCACATCACAGCAAGTCACAGCGTTTAAAATGATTATTTTTGCTTCCAAACTTTTTTAACAAAAGTTTGGAGTTTTTGGAACGAAAGTTTGGAGTGTTTAAAACGGCCCTTAAGCGCGGGCCGGCACTGTATGTTCACTGACACAGGACCTGTACTGAATTCGGTCCGTGCTGGAAGAGCACGTGTGTGTTAATCAAGGATATATATCATCTGCATCGGTCCTCTGGGTTAACATAGTCCCCAGACAGACATCATACCGTGGGTGGGCACGGCAACCTCCGTGG